TTCAAATTTATTTATAATCCAAATCTAATTAGGTCAAACTAGTTGAGCTAGTTAATTTGGATGTAAGTTGGCCTAACCAATATGGGAACAACAATAATGGCCTCATCCACTTGGCCACACAAGAAAGGTTTAATTCCGAGGTCTTGTAGTTTGAGTGTAAGGCAATCGTGTTATCGCACAATGGGTCGGAAGGCGGTACACCTAAATAATATAAGATATGTTATGAATTGAAAATGTTTTGCATTCTCAAAGTAAGATTATATGCAAATAATAACATGAATATATATATATATATATATAAGATTCCAAAAACATAGCATTAGCATCTAAGGTAAGGAGAATCTAGAGAAAGACCACTCAAACACAAAGAATACTTAAGAATTATAATACAACATGAGTACATTATAAAAAAGAAAATATAGAAGTTATATCATCAGCAAAAAAAAAAAAAAAACATATACATACATTACAATTCCTTAATTATTATCAAATAAAATTGCCATAAATTAGTTTTATAATCTAAAAAAATAAAAATTACAAAATTAGGCTAACAATCTTCACTTGAGACACATCTAAGTAAATTATTAAATAAATAAAAAAAGGTGGTTAAAAATGTTCTCAAAGTTGTTTTATCTCTAACATATGATGCGGCATGAACTCACCTCTAGCAAGAAATTGATTCAATCTCAATGGCTCCAAGTTATTATTTATGTAGCCAACTTCCATCGTTAACCCTTAGTGCCCTTTGCCTAGGTTGTCAAAGTCCTCGTTATTACTTCAGGATGCTACTCCAAGTCATTTGTCCTCTCTAGAGCCACCCCCATTATATTCCCAATGGGGACATCTGGTTTTGAAACTAAACTCTAGTTGCTAACAATTGTTTTGAGTATATAGTAAGTAACAACATCCATTAGGCCACCGAGGTTGATATCTCTTCAAACATGTTTAATAATTTAGTCATTTTGGTTGAATCTATATATTTAAATCCACTAAGAGGTGAAGACTGCATGTCCATAAGTCTTATCAATAAAAGGTACCAAGCACATAGACAACTTCGCAGTTATTTCCTCTAAATGTTCAAGCGACATTGGTAACCTAACATTCTCACCAACCTTGGTCGCTACCTTCTCACCACTAAAAAATAGGGCACCAAATAATTTGATGGCTCACAACACCATGAGCCCATCAATTTACTTGTTAAAGCATCTGTAGGTGGACTTCCATCTAGCTATGCTCATTTCGTAAACCTTCTTCCCCTAAAAGATATTTTATAATTTACTTGAGAATATAGGAAAATTAAATAGAAGAAAATCAATTTATGAACTTACTAAATGAAAGCATTTTCCACCATTATTGTAATACCTAGCTTCTTTGTCCCTGGGGCAATTCTTATGTTAAGAATAGCTATAGTTGCTAGTGTCACCTAAGAAAATGAGTAAACAATAAAACAATCACAAGGAATAAATCAAAAGAAAAACAAGCTAACTTCACTTATCAACCTAGAGAATCCCTCAAAACCCTTTTGTGTGATCTTGCGGCTTGAGAAGACTCATCAATTTCTACTTCAATTAGGGTTGTCTTCACAACAAGGATGATTATCATAATTATTTTTCTAAGCAAACTAGGTTTGAGTCATACATTCTTTACTTTATTGTGCACTTTCTAACTTTCATTAATTTCTTCCTTGTCAATATGGTCTCATTGAAGACATCAAACTTTATTGAATCAATCTTTTATAGTTGTAGAGCTCAAGTGGAGAAGAAGAAAAAGAAAAATCCTAAACCATGTAAGACTCATAAGATACTCAACTACACTAACATGAACAAAATGACAAATTGTTCTCAACTATGAACACAATAACTTATTAATTTTTTTTAATCTCTATTACTTACTTTTTTTAATGCACATTAAATGCTAATTGTTATGAAGATGAAATTTTCATACAAAGGATGAGACAATAAACTTGATATGAAAAAAGAAGCAAACTAACTTAAGAAGGTTAGCTAGGCATGCCTTAAAATCATATAGCATTTTTATAGTTTTTTTTTTCTTTTTAAAAATGCTTTCAGTATAAGTAGAACTAAATATATTCCCCTTAGGCATACAAATCCAAGAGATAGGCAAGAAGATGATATAGTTAGGCCAAGCTCGTGAGAATTTCAGAGCATGCAAAATGCGAACAAAGCTTGTTAGTTTGGCTAAAAATAAAATTGTTAGCTGTTTAAACAAGGAAACATCCATTTAAGCTCACAAATGACTCACCCAAGACCTTCACTGGACTCACCAAATCAACTCATTTTAAACAATTACCAAGTTTCAGAAGAGCTATTCATTGGTTACTATTAGGAAACCCAACAACTTTTCAGGCTGACGACCAACCTCCAATCCTAATCTAAGTACGTATCAAGGTTCATTGTCTCACCATTTATATATTCTTTATTGTATGCACAAGTTATTCTATAGCAATTTCATAATGCTTGAGACTTCAATTCTTATAATATTACGTTGTAGAAAGAGCCATGTTTACACAATCAGGCCCATTCTTTCACAACTCTACTTAAGCTACCTTATGTATCGTAGCCTCAACCTATTGAGCTTGAAAGTAATTTTTCTTCTCTCTCTCTCTCTCTGTGCTTTTTCATTACTCATCTCTACATGATCATCCCTCTTTCTCTAGGTTAGTAAGGTTTTGGTATAACAAATTGGCACATTATAATGTAATAATTAACTCCTTAATTGCATAATATAAGGGTCTTTATTAGGAATGTTAGTCAAATATACCTCCTTGATAGTTTTTAGAACCAACATATACATGAGAATGATCAGTATCTTATTTATCGCTGCTTAAATTTTATCTATTGATTTTTTAATGTTGCAATAATGACCTTCATGCTTGTTAACTTTTATTAAATTTGATAAATTTACAGTTTAGAAGTCATGTTTTTTTAATATAAATTTAAAAATATCTTTTGAAAACTTACCTATGAAATATATAAAACTAAATGCATGTATTTAGTATTGGGTAGGTCGATAAAACCATTTTACATAATACCTAACAGCATCGAAAAGCTTATATAGTGACAAATCTAATGAAAATCATCATATTTTTATAGGTTCATGTTTAATTTTCTGATTTTGAGTTGTCTTGAAAAAAAATGATTATAAATATATAAACTAATAAATAATGAAATAATAATTGATTAGTAAGTCATGATTAAAGTCAAAGGGATGCATAATTAAAGTTACTATGATTATATATGAAGATGTTAAGAAGTAATTGCATGGATTATCATTTATCATTTAAATGATCATGTGCATCATAGTTATATAATATATCCTAGACTATATAATATTTTTCATTACTCTAGTATGATATGTTGATAATATTTATTACTCGCTAATATATAGTAAATCATAGATTTTCATTATCATGATAAATTCTGCAATAAGTGATGTTCATGCTTTATTAAGTAGAAGTTCTTACCTGAATTTGAGTAGTGGCTTTATTTAGAGTAATCTTGGTTTAGATAATTTTGCTTCTATATTTATTATTTTCACTTTTTTTTAGTCATTTATTATTATTATTTTAGTGTTATGAAATCTAATAATATAGCAATATATATATATATATATAT